TGTAGCAGAGCAGAAGTCTCTGTAGGGTCCGGATACAGTTGGGAGTGAACAGGTAGCCACTTTCTGCTGTGACACTTTGTGAAGACTGTCCCGGTCCTTATTTTCCACACAATGATCAAAATATTTGTCGATGAGCTACTCTGAGATCATTTAGGTTTGTTCTGGAAAAAACAAACACAAAGTTACTTATCTGTGGTCTTGACAACAGTCAAGTCAGTATACAGCGTAGGGCACTAGCACAGAGGTTTATGTGAAAAACGTACCACTAGGTCAACCCTCGAAGGTGTTTTCAGGGATAAGAACCAATCTGGAGAGCCACAGAGGTGTTTTTCCCCATGAGAACNCTAGGTCAACCCTCGAAGGTGTTTTCAGGGATAAGAACCAATCTGGAGAGCCACAGAGGTGTTTTTCCCCATGAGAACACAATCCCCCCCCCCCCTTCTTCTTACTGTAAATGATGCTACGTTGATGCGGCATGCGTGTTGACCCTGCGTCAGCCGCTCGGATGTGGTCACACCATGCATTCTCATCATTATTGCTAAATTATGTTTTTATTGTAGCTTTTATAAAGCTTTACAAAATCAGCTCCACATGCTAATTTTATTGGTGGTGTTCCCATGGTTTTGAGTGCATACTTCCCCTGGTTTCATCATGCTTTCCGTTAATTTAGTTAATTTAGTTAGCATTTCTAGCGATAAACATTACATGGTCTCATCATGTAATACCATGGCGATAATTGGAAGTGTTGTGTCTCGCAAACGCCCTTGTAACAACTGCACTTTTTATTGCACTACCGTAAATAATTTTACTATTGCATGCGATGTGTTTGGGGCAAACGTGACAGAAGCTGCTGAGGGGAGAGGCAGAAAGTGATGGAGGGGTCTGGCCTGAGGTGGGGGTGAGGGGAGGGTTGTTTACAAGCTTTCCACAGTATGTTTTATGTGTTGCCCATTGACTTTTATCTATTCTGGAACCTTCTTCATCCTGTCTCTCCACATGCAAGAGGCTTCCTCATAAACATCGGAGCATGCGTGAGCCGTTAGCGTTATTTTCGCTCTCGGGGGGGGGGGGGGGGGAGAGCCACGTCTGACCCGCGGATGGCTTGGCAGGATGAGTGGCTCCATGTGTGGCGTGGCGTGCCGCCAGCGGATATCGTTCGCCATCCCAATTTTCTTAATACACGTGAGCCCAATTAGCAGGCCCATCTAGCCTGGGCCCTGAGCTCCCCTCAGATGGTAAGGCTGCCCCATCCAGTCCTGGTCAGATTCACCCTCCGGGGGCAGTCGAGGACCGGGAGTCATCATCCGCCAGGCCACATGTGAGCAAGCCGCACACACAGAGCCAGGCCTCGCGGACGATGACGCCAGAACCATGGTGGGCGGCCTCATGAAGCCGTTGACCCCCCACATTAAAAAGCAGCTTCTGTCTGTATTCCACACCCCCACCCCCATTCGCCCAACCTGGGCCCCCACTTTAACCAGTCAAAGTACAAAAAAAAGACAAAAACTATGAAGATGGGATATCTCAGCCAAGCACTTATTATCAAAGAGTTATTAATACAGCTTCCCAAGAAAACATCAAAGGGACTGAGGAAGTTGTTAAAGTAACTGTTATGTGAGATAATTTAGTAGTTTAATGTGGGGTCAAGACAAACTTTTTCCTAAACAGTATCATGAAGTTTCATGGCTTTTGCTCTTGTAGTCCAAAGACCTGCAGATAGCATCCCATCCAGGGTGTAACCCTGGGTCCCCTGCCACCCTGACCAGAAGATCGATGGATGGAATCTTGTGAAGGTAGATTCTACAGTGCAGAAGGAAGGATTGGCACTGAGAATCATTATCATTCGGTCTCAGAGTGTTTTCTTTCTAACTGCCTAAACAACGAAGTAGTTTTGCTATCATATCAGATTACAAATTAGCGGCAAATGTATATCGCATTTAGTGAAGTAACAGTCACATGACTGCATGTACCAGTGACACGGTGAGATGATAAGTCGTCAGCAGGCCAGCTCTTCTGGAAAACTCCGATGGAATACTCCGGTAATGAACAAACAGTGAGGAATCTCCACTGTTCAAAAGCATGGCAATGTTCCTGGAAGAGAAGATTGGACAGGCTAAATGTCAGGGCGGTTTCTGAGTTTTATTTCATTCTTTAAACAGGATTTAGACATGAAAACCTAAAACAAATTCTCATAAAACTAACATTAAAAAAAAAACATATCTGTCTAATAAAAGCTAACGATTTCATCCAGCAGAGAGCAATGAATCACGCAGAGCTGTAACCCTCCTGGGACATGTCTTCAGATCAGCAATTCACTTACCACTCCATGCTGCCCCTCATGACCGGACGGCCCTATGAATAGCTGTCAGATCCATCACCCTGTATGTTTAAGTCTTTTATTTATTTTCTTATGTACGTATTTTTTCGCTTTGGAAAGACACCTGCTGATGGAATAAATGAAAAAAGTCCGCTATCTTACGCAACAGCCTCCCTCGCAGACTGGAAACAGGCAATAAAAGGGGAAAAAAATAGAAAAAAGGGAAAAAAAAAACAACTTTGGTTTTCAATGACTTTTAACGGGCAATCCCCCATGTCGGGACTGGGAGAAGACCGTTGCGTGCGTTCGTGAAAGTGCTTTTAATTACAGAAGCTGCTAGTGACTCCAAGCTTGAACAGCTACCAAGCGCTACAGCTCAGAGCTCAGAGAGGGCCAGAGGCACGGGAGGAGTCTGGGTCACAGCTCGAACCGGCAGCCGGGGACCGGGTCAGGGGCTGCATGGGGGTCCTATGTGCGGGTGCGCGTCTCACCCACGAATCCAAACAGTTATTGAGGAGGGTAAAAAATGATTGGAGAGACTTGGATTGTTATGAGATCGAATGGCATGTGGCGGAAGCAGATCTTTCTGATTATCCTCAAATGTTTGAAAGTACGGTACTTACCTGGCCTCACAGTAGAAGCTCAAGGTAGTGGGGGGGGTGCCATCTGTTCACTACCCCAAGACAGCCTAGGGCAGGGGTGGCAAACCTGGTCCATGGAGAGCCACTGTGGGTGCAGGTCTTTGGGATGGCCTCTCAATCAGCCAATAGTAAAGCAGTGGTTCTCAACTCCAGTCCTGGGGACCTTCTGTTATTGGATGACTGAGAGGCTGTCCCAAAGACCCGCACCCACAGCGGCTCTCCATGGATCAGGTTCGCCACCCCTGGCCTAGGGTCTCAGCTCCCGTGACCAAAAAAGCCATCCCAGGCTGGCGTCCGAAATTATTCCAGTCCATTGATTGCCAGTGCCTGACGCCTTGCTTTGAACCAGAGAGCCGGCTGCTGTTCCCCTGCATGATGGAGAACCGTTTTTACTTCCCTGTTTGGTATCTATCAAATGCTTTTGATCAAAGCCAACCTAAAACTGGACCTTGATTTAATATGCACGTTGCTCTCTAGAACCAGGCCTGGAAACATTTTTTACTTAACTTTACTCAATCGAGTGCCAGCTGAAGGACGTACCGAAATAAATTGGTACCTTTTGAAAGCAGTTACTATGGACCTTTCCAGCAGAATAATACCCAAATGGAGAGTGAGCCTCGGGCCTCTTGACTTGCTGACGTGTTCTGGACAGCGTGCTCTTGTTTCATGTTCATGAGTTATCAAAGGAACCAGACCTGCTCTCTTCTAATCACCCAGCCACGGATCTGATATCAAGCTGGAGTTAGATTCACTCTGGGCCACTTCAGGACCGCCCAAATCAGGCCTTAGGAAGCTGGGGGCGGGTGGGGGGGGGGAGCAGTTCTTTGCACTTGCTCAGATTAATGGATTCACAGTATAGACCAGGAGAAGGGAATCTTATCAGAAAGGGCTGTTGTGTGCGTTGATTTTTACTGGAACTTCAGTAGAATACTAATTCGAGGACTGATTTACTGAAGAGTTTTCACACCTGGTGTGAAGAGCTGACGTAGAGGTTATCCCAAAAACATACATACACACTGGCGTTTTGAGGATAAGATTGGCCACCCCTGGTATAGAGGTAAATGGCCCATTATTGATTATGATATTGCCATCCCTATGGATGTTATCTCCATGAAATAATTTCTCCATGTAGACCTGAAAGCATTGTGCTCATAATTTTTCCATCTAAACCTGGACAAACAGAGTCAAACAATTTACTTCACCTTAAACAGTGAAGTGCCTCTTCATTTGGTTGCCTGGCGAAGCATGTTGAGTACAGGAAACATCATTCATGCTTGTGGGGGGGGGGGGTGGTGACATGTCAACAGATGGTTTCCAATCAGAGATTTGAAGCGCCCCATGGACCCCTTGGCAATGCAGTGATTGGCCGGCCAAGCCGAGAGGAACCCGGGGCCATTAGGGCTGTTTATTTCACGGGGAAACTCTGAAGCGTGCGAGTCGGCCCGCTACGCACGCAGGCCTTTGAAGTCTGCACCAGTGCATGGTCTGCACATTGGACAGTTATCAGCACGCCATTAAGATGCCGTTAATACTCAGTATCTCATTAAGAGCTCATTCCCATGCGTGAGTACCGGCCCGAACGCTCATCACCAAAGCTCTGCTAGTCCACGCTAACCGATGCCTAGCAGGGTGCCGGGGGGTGGGCGGCCCACGAAGGTGACAGCTTACTGGGATGCGTTCTGATCGGCAGGCCTTGCTCATGCTAACCAGCCCCGATTATTCACCATTGCTTCATAACCCTCCATTCTAAGGACCAAGATCTTCATTCATGTCTCAGTTATTATTTTCTTGTTTCTGTTTTGTTACTGTTACTCATTACCCTGTATAACACAGGGAAGATCAGGCCTTTTTTGTCTCAGTATGCATCTCAACTTCAAATCCAGGAAATTAGCTTGTGACTTAACTTTCTACATGCAGGTTTACCAGCCTGTCCTGTTTGACCACTGCAGATAATGCAAAATGTGGTTGCATGTCTGGTATTCAGTCAACCTAATTGCTCTTATGTTATACCCCTCCATGTCTCTCTTCATTGGCTCCTGTAGGCACTGGCATCAAGTTCAAGGCCTTGGTGCTTGGTCTTGAGATCCATTAATCCTTAAGACCTACGTCCCATCTTGCCTTCTTCAGTCAGCAGACCTGTGCTACTCTGAAATCCCTCCACCATGTGAGAAGACATTTCTCATGTATGGTTCCCCGATGGTGGAATGAGCTGCTGAACCATTTCCAGTCGTCAGACTCCCTTCTCCACCTTCAAGAAATGCTTCAAGACCCATTTGTTCAAGGAAGCCCTCTACTAGCTGTATGTTACCCGAGTGTTGCACTTTATCTACTGATCTGATCAGTTGTTTTATTAGGTTCTTGCTTAGTTGGAAAGATGTACAGCTCTGACTCTGATAGCACTTACATTTGTACCTGGGCATTCATTGGAAGCTCAGCCTAGCTGCTCTTACGCCAAGTCGACTCCTTGACAGCCTTTTGTTTGCAATGTGCTGCTTGTCTCACTTCTGAGTCGCTTTGGACAAACATCTCAGCTAAATATGTCATGTAGATGTAGTAAATGTCTCAGTCTCCATTGCTCTTTCTGTCACCACACTTGCAAGAAATCTGCCAATGCTAGCTATGGATGTCTTCAGCAAAACACAGCTTTATTGAAAATCTCTTTTAAGCCTTTTTTTCATTAACAGAGTGTTCCCATTTTAATGTTACCTACACGTTGGACTGATTTTTATTTCAAACTACATTACATCAATACATACTGCTTTTGGTCAGCTAAAACTACTACAAAGATTTATGAATTATTATTAGTAATAAAATAAATACAAATATTATAATAAAAATTACATCATGACAGATTACGCTATTCTACCATAGTCATAATTTTTAAATTTTGCAGTATTTTTCAAACATTTTTCTTCTGACATTGTGACTCTTCGGAAACTACTATTCAGGAAGAGGCATTAAAAAAATATTAGAACCATAAAGTGCTTTGTATTTCAGTCTATTAGCCAAAATTTAACAACTGGAAAAAACGGGACTGTTTTCATCCATAAAATCACAAATACCTTCACCTCAAATTGATATATAAAAAAGACATTAAGGGTGTTTTTGAATGAACAGCCTGTTCCTTGGCTCTCAGGTAGTTTTTCTTTTAGGCTAAAAGAAACGCAGGTGTATACTGACACTGTCACAGGCGTCGGGGGGTGGGGGGGAAGGAATCCACTAGTCCCAAACATTTCAGTCACCTTGAAAGAGCATGTTGTGGAAGGCTTAATGGGCAATATAGAATGCAAAGGTCAGAAGGTTGGAGTAAGGTCAAAGGGTCCCGACTTGGGAAGGATGACCACCCTACTTCATAACCGTGTAACACATCCTCAGTACTTCACATGAGCTTCTTTGGATTCAAACTTCTGCTAGATAATAAGAATGGTATTTTTCACTGGGCATGTGTGAGAGAGTATTAGCATGCAAGGCATCAGTGTTGTTGCTTTATAGACCAGCAAATGTACCCTCTGGGTTGGCAAAGCTGTCTTTGTTGGGGGGTGGGGTATACCTAATACTTGGGTCTCCTAAACAGAAGTAATGCACCTCGAATGAGCAAACAAGAGGATATGTTCCTTCAGATGCCAGGGTCAGTAGGGAGATGGAACCATCACGTGACCCTGTAATGTTCTGACCCACCCCCTTCCCCAGCCAGAGATAAAAAGACGAGTCCACTCTTTCCATTGTTTCAAGCAATTTTGAAGGTGAATCCTCTGCACATTGGGACAGGGAGGTGGCAGGGAGGAGGTAGTCGGTGGAGAACTCAGAGGAACAGCATTCCAGGAGCCTCCATGTCTGCCCTCAGCCTCCTGTACCTTTGGCAGACCTTCCGTGAGAAGTTCCTCACGGGGGAAGCTTGGGACACCTTGTGAGAAAACATTTACACCACTCCCTTTTCTCAGTCCATTTGCTGTTATAATCAGAAGACGAAACCTGCAGTCTAGCCACATTGTTCTGGGCAAATCTCAGTACCACATGGCCAGAGGACACCAGACAAAGCAACCAGATAATAAAGTTCCAGACGAAGAGCTGGAATGTTGGTCACCCATGAATTATCAGTGTAAAAAAATCCCCCTGCTTTTCGTGCTTCTTTTTCATAAAATTTCCTATACGTTTCTATATTCGTGTCCTCTTAAGGGCAATTTACTTACATGCATTCATTAAGGAATGTTCTTTAACTGGAAACTGGAGAGATTTTGTATCAAGGCACACTTGGACCGACAGAAAAAATTCTACTTTTCTGTTTTTTCCAGTTTTATCCCTGCCAAAATACAGGCTTTCTGAAAACGCAATTTCATGCCTTGAAAATTGACACAGTTTAGCTTCTAGCTGGTTGAATGTTACAGGTAAACTTTACCTGTCATTTTCAGTATGTCACTCTCAAATTTGACCGCAAAGGTTAGAAAGTTGTGGCCCATGCTTAAACCTTCCACATCAAGGATATGTTTTACAGTAGAAGGTAAACGGCATTTAGCTGAGCTATCAATGAAAGTCTGCTGCCTGCTTCTCAAAGAGTTACCAGCTTGAGGTTAATTAATGTCCCATAGATCTTTGTTCCTCACAGACAGGCTTGTCAAACAGAAATCAAAGATTACTGTGAATCAACGTTAAAGCTGGGAGGTAAATTAAAAAGTCTTAGTATTCAGGCCGTATCAAGGGGCCGATGCCCTTAATCTGATGACAGGAGACGAATGAATGAACGCTGTTTTGTGAATTTTTGTTCTTGTATTTGACATTTCTTCTGGAGGAAACATCTGCAGCAGCTTCCACCTTCTGGAGAAATTTATTTTCATTCACATTTCAAGCCACAAGAAAATGCAGAAGGTGTTTTTCAGGGCAAGAAAAGAAGAGGGCCACTCATCCCTGTGTGCTAAACACGCGACAAATCCAAAGAGCCGTGAAACAGCCAAGTCTGGAGAGCCACATCGAGCTCCGTACGGAAAGACACTCCCCAAATGGCTCTGTGAAGCAGCGTCACTGTGGGACGAGGTCGTCTCACCGGTTTCTTTTACAATCCTGAGTTTTACTTCACAATATGAAGCAGCAGAAACAATTATGCGACACAACCTTGGTTTAAGTGTCTTACCATTTTGTGGAGTAGGATCAAAGGTAAATCCAGTAAACATTCAAGTAAATAAAGTATCTCTAGTTTATTTGCCCCACTAATTTTCAAGTCCTTCCAGGGGAATTCTTAGCCTTAAGTGGGAGACACACTCCCACTTAGTAAACTAAGAAGGCCCACTTACTGGATTTAAATGGACCTCCAGACCTCTTGTATGGGTTGCAGCTACTCTCTCTAATGTGCAATAAATATTCTTTAAGTTTACATTTAATTTAGTTTTCTCCTTATTCCTCGTCCCTGTGGTCACTCTGTTTTCAGCAACAAAAAAAAACAAAAAACACTCAACAACTTAGAGCGCCTTCGAATGGTACGTTTCCCGTCAATAATGTGTTTATAAATGGTAGCATCCTCTGAACACGGCTGTAGATAACCCTATCGGATGTACCTGGTTAGTGAACATATCTGACAACTTGTTAGTATTGGAGAAACTGGTGAAAAATAATCCAAAATAAACACTCAAAAGAAAAAAAAAAAAAAGTTAAGCTTCTTTTTTTTGAGAGAGAGAACCAGGAACAGATGTCTGATTTGGCGGAAGAATCGAAACCATCTGAAACAACTCTCATAGTCAAACTCCAATAAATATACCTTTCAACACATCCAGTGTTTGTTGAACAAATAATGAAGGGAGAAGAAACAGGTATTTTTTCGACATTACCTGTTGTAAAGCATCAGTGGATGGCTTCTCAGGAGACACTGATGAAGCGATCGTAACGATAAAATGCCGCTTGATGCCATGTCTAATTACTGTCCTGCCATATTTTGGACCCTATCATACGATCCAGCTCCCTCAGCGAGATGGAAAACATTTGTGCGTATCGTTTTAATGTTGTACTTGCAATGATTATTGATTGCACAGCTGTTACTCAGGACATTGTAATTAAGCATTGGTAAAACTGAATTCCGATTTGGTGACTTTTAGACAATCCACGACTAAGGAGCTTTTTGACTGGTTTAAATTTTTGTTCCCTCCATGCAGATTAATATGTAAAAATTGCTAATTATAACCCAATAATGAATAAAAACATGTTAACAAATTGTTGAGAGGTGGGGAAAGTTACTCGTTTTGTACAATCTTTTGTTATGGGGTTCCAGCAACAGACAATAAAACTCCAGTCCCATAATTTCCCAGGACCTTCAAGGGGAATCCTTGGGAAAAAGTCTGCTGGAAGCGGCCCTGTTTTCCCGAGAAGGCAGATGAAACGCATTTCTGCTTAACTCGCAGAGACAATGCACCGGAAGTCAGAGCGTGATGCATTTCTGGCCAAGACACTTAATGCGACTAAGTCACATTTTCATCTATGTTTTCTTTTAAATCGAAGCTCCCCGAGATGGATATCATTACTTTGATGTTGCGAGAAATGAACAAAGAACTTTTATAATTAGATAACTCCAATCAAACTCCCCTTCGGGTTTGATGTCTGATTAGCCACACATCTCCTGCTAGACCAACCGCATGTTATGACAATGCGATATTGCATTGCTGCGGTCCCCCCTGTTAAATTATGGAGTTAAGACCTTCATGTTTTCTGAACTTAACTCTCCAAGGCGGTAACGAGACATGCTCACTCACACCCTTACCGGATGTGGGAGAAAAAAACACACACTTTCATAAAAACTGGGCAACAGATCAAGGTTTTGTGAGCAGATTTCACCAGTCCAGTCAATGCAGTTGCAGCTTAGATTTTTCTGACTTTATTCCTATTTTTCCGTGTATTTCTCCCTGCGTTTTGGCTCAGTATGATTGCCCTTCTTCCCATCCCGTTTTTTTAGCCTTCTGTTCCCTGTCCCAACTCTCCTCTTGCGCCTTCGGGCGAGAGTGGGAGTTAGGGGTTACATGCTTTTCAAAAACCAAACTAAATTACTAACATTTTTGCACTAAAATTGAATTATTCTATCAGCTCTTATTTACTCTGCCGAACTATTCGTCCTTTGTGCATGTCTAAAAGTTTTGAGTATTGCTTACTACATTGTACCTAATCCCCTTCATTTTAAATTTGACTGTTCAGCGATTTTGCAGATTTACCCACCAATATGTTCCATTTTTTTTGTAAACAATCCACAGAAATTCTGGGAAAAGGATATTCCGGTTTGGCTATAAATTCAGCTGTTAATCTGAATTTTTCTCCTGTGCTCGTTTGTCTGTGTCTGCAAATTTCATGATTATATATTTTTTTGTCTTATATTGGCACCGCTATGTTGACGATCCAGCATCATCGTGGCGTGACCGCGGTGCAGTGTCTGAGTGCCTCAGTCGTTTAGCCATGTCACAACAAACGTGGGCAGCGCCTACGTCTCAGAAAAAAAAAACAAAAAAAATGCCAAATCATCCCTTCGCCAGTTGACGGGCCATCCACCCACTTTGTTTTAACTGGCCCAGGTCACACTCTACCGGTAAGGAATGGGATGCCGTCTCCCGCATGTTTATTCATGCGTGGCCCCCTTCTCCAGCCTAATTCCTCTTTATGAAACATCCCGATCCGATTTCGAAACCTGTTCTGGCGGAGAGAGGAAGTGCCTTATCACCATCCAGCAAAAGCCGCTGCTAAACTGGAGTGCAGGAACAGGAACAAGCAGAGAGGAAAGACAGCACACAGATGCGAGATTGTGTATCAATAAACTTGTCAGACTGTCAGATTATTTTCTTCACCCTGATCGTGGCTATAAAATGGGGGTGTTGTGGGGGTGGGGGTTGGTAGTTAAATTAGCCCGTAAGTTGTAAGTGTGTGCATAGAGGGTGGAAGAAAGATCGTGTTCATTCACATTTAACCTCTCCGGTTTTCGCTCTGTCCTGAACCGGCGCTTTGAACGCCTCGCATCCTGGGTGCTGGGACTCTGTACGAACAATAGGCGAGAAAGAATTATACAAATCACATCTGCCGGAATCAAGCGAGGGGACATCTGGGGGAATTGAAATGTGCTTGTAATTAATCCATCAT